ACCGCTCTTGAGCCCCTCAGACTCCAGCCCAGAAACTGCAAGGCTCTCCTGCTCGACCTGGAGTCTGTCTTCAGCATCAAGCACCAGCTTAGCACATAGGAAACTTCCATAAGAGTGGCAGTGGAGTTCGCCAACAGCTGTGTATCTGGAGACTGCAGGTCCCACCCAACTCCTTGTGAACCTTGGTAGTATGGGCTCAAAGTGGGAGAGGCAAGAGCCTTGGACGGCTGGCAGTCCTGGGGCAGGGGACAGTGTCGGGTGGAGTACTCCTGGGGCCCCAGAGTGATTCTGCAGGCTCACGCCCATAAGGTTTCACTCCCTCCCCGCTCATTCCTAGGTGTCCCGAGACGGCCAGCTCTGCCCGCTCCTGCCTGCCTTCCTCATTAACAGCAGGCAAATTAAGTTTCCTTATTAAGAGGGAAGGACCTTGGAAAATGGAGTCGTTTCAGGAAGCAGCTGGGGCGGCTATGGCTGACTGGGAAAGGAGTGCTCCCAGATGTAGGGCTCATCTTTTGAGAAAGGGAAGACGCTGTTATCAAAGTCCCTAGAGACGCCTACTCCAGAGGCACTGGAGGTCCTCAGAGAGTCTCAGGGTGCTATGGGATTGGGCCTGGCCCCTATAGCCATTAGAATAGATCCCCCATCACCTTCTTTATATTTAGGGGTTAATTATAAGGGCTCTGGGGCTAAAAAGGTGGGGGAAACCATAATCTAGGCCAACTCTCTTGTTTAAAAATATGGACACTTGGGGCCTGGAGTGTCCATGGTGAACCAGGGAGGAGCCAGTGGCTCTCCCTTCCCAGAACCACCAGAGCCTCTTGGGATAGGTCCCTGCTTCCCTGCCCCCCCCCCCATGTCCTAGGAACCCCCTATGCAGGGAGAAAAAAGGACTTTCTTAGGTTAGAAGGTTTGCTCAGCTTCTCTGCTACAAACAGAAGCCCCTGATGCAAAAGCTTTCCGTTCTCTCCAGGCTCGTTCCCACGGGCTCTACTTGCCCCTGCACTATGTTTCTTATGTCTCCCCACCTCCATGTTCCAGAGTCTCTGGGCCATCCAGGGCAGGGATGTCCTCACTGTTAGTCTCCCTGTCCGAGCAGAAAAACCAAGGCCCTTAACTCTTTACGGCGGACAGAAAATTCTGCAAACACACTCCTAGAGCAGGAAGAAGGGTTCTGGAAGGGTCTTTACAACCCGGATGTTTACTATGGTGCCCTTCCTTTTTGGCAGGAGAGCCTTGGGGTGGACGCGCGTGAGCTCCACGGTTCATTTGTACTGGCACACCAGTCAGGCCACTGCTTGTGGAACGTCAGCACAGGCGGGTACTGCAGTGGGACAGCTGGCTCCCAGGTCCTGAGGGCTAAGTAAATGTTTTATAAGCAGCGAAGCACCAAATTCTTACAACGGCTTCACGAGGAAGTGTTGTTATCTGTTTTACAGATGAGGAAACTAAAGATGAAGAACAGCCCAAGGTTACACAGTCTGGTTGTGAGAGGGACGGTATGTGATCCCAGGACTTTTTTAGCCTACGAAGAGTTAAGGCCATAACTCCCAACCTGCCTGGAGAACCCTCAGGCTCTAGGTTGAGAGCAGGAAGGCAAAGGTCCCTCTGTTTGGCCAATACTAGCTAATCCTGTTGCTCTGGTTTGAAAAACAACAACAACAACAACAAAAAAGCACCAAGCTAAATTGAGCAAGAGGGGCCTGGTGCTGGTACAAAGGCTGTCCTATAGGCCTGGGCCTGGCCCCTCAGAGGAGCATGGAGTGTCTGTTTGTTACAAGTCGCTTGAGCCCCAGCATTTAGAAGGGTCATTGGCTCCAATAGCCTCCTTTCACTGACAAGGAAGCTGAAGCCCAGAGAGATCAGGGTCTTGCAGGTCACACAGCATGGGTGTGGCAGAGTGGGCTAAGCTAGACCCTGTGACGCTATGGTGCCCTGTGTATACCCCTAGCTTCCTCTGGCCCAGCCTGAGGACACCCAGGAAAACAGTGTGGGATGGGGTCTAAGTGACAGTGGTGGGAAAGGTGGGCTCAGCTCAGCAGTCTGTTGTGTTTTGGAGAGGCCTGCTCCCACCTCAATGGGCATGAAAAACACACTGAGGGACCCAGGGCGGGCGGAGGGGCGGGGGTAGGGGGAGAGTAGGAAGACCCCTCCTCCACAAAGGCTGGTGGCGAGTGCCACTACTGCCCTCTGCTGGCTGCCCAGGCCCAGCTAGCTCAGTCAAGCCCACAAGGTGTTTGCTCTTCAGGCTGTCCTTCAGGTGTTGGCTGTTTGAGACCTAGACTCTGGGACCCAGGGAGATCTACAGGTCAGCGAGTCCAGCCACTCATGCCACAGAAAGGGAACCTGAGGCCCACGTGTGAGAGAGGAGGCGTGCTCAAGGTCACGTGGCAAATACGTTAGGGGACTGCGTTGCCTTTAAAAGCGATGGGCCTTCTGGCCAGGAAGCAGGACAGGCTGTCTGGGAGATGCTAGAGAAGGGGTTTCTGCTCCCGGCAGGGGTCTAGACCCACAGCCCTTTCTGACTGACAGTCAGGGGAGCTGAAAATAAGCTGGGCTTGTGCTCTAATCCTACTCCATCCTATGCTGTGCAACCTAAGGCCAAATTACTTAACCTCTCTGAACCTCGGGTTCCTCGTCTGTAAAGGTTCGAGGATGTCCTCCATTTCTAGGGTTGTGTGCAATGGGCTCTGACTGTTCCATATGTCCCAGCTCCACCTCATGGTTATACCCTAACTACTCAAGGCAGGCCCTCATTTCTCACTTTGCTACCGTTTCTTAACTCAGGGTTGGGCTGGTATTTCTGTTGCTGCTACTGCTGCTTTGGAGTCAGTAATGAGACTGGGTTCTGGTCCTGCCACTTACTAGCTGTCTTATCTCACCCAAGCAACTTAATCTCTCTAGGCCTCAGTGTCCTCATAAGTGAAATGGGTACAAAATATCCTGACAGCCAGGACTGGGTACACAGCTCGATGAATGCTGTATGTGAATGTATGCCCAGGGCTTCAGCAGGGAAGGCTTCGAGGCTGTGGGGGAACCCCTCACCGGAGATACAAGGCCTCTGTGGATGTGCTAACTGGTCTCTGTTTCCCTCTTCCACCTCCCACCCACCTCCCCTCTTTTGTGCCCGGGCCACCTGAGCCTTCCTACAGGAGGAGGAGGGAGCAAGTCCAGAGAGGCCTGACTGTGAGGGGGACGCCCACAGAGGGATCTCAGCTCTGCTGCAAAGGGAAGGGGCCGGGAGAGTGAGCAGCCACCACCACCAAGAAAAACCTGGTCCTGAGGAGGAAGTGGTACCCTGGGCTCTTGCACTTTCGCATCCTGGAGTCAGGAGCCATTAAGGGGACCGTGGGACAGGGGTCTCCCAGTGGTCCAAAGAGCTCTTCGCCCCAGAGCCTGGCTCGGGGGTCCAGAGCCTCTCACTTGAATTGTGCCTGAGCTGCTTAGAAGCCAGCATGGCACAAATGTGTCCATTTTCTGCCTAAGGCTAAGTGGTTTTTAATTTATATCCTCCAAGTAAGCCGGATCCAGAGGAATTTGCTCCCCGAGGTCACCCAGGGGATTGAGACAACCTGGAGTGATCAGACTGCCACCTGGATGGGGAGGGGTATGCGTGTGTGCGGTGGGGGTTAGGCAGCTTTGCCTGCTAGGCCCCTTGGGATCTCTAAACTCCCTCAATCTATCCTTTCCCACAGGGGAGGGTAGGGACTAAGGATGCCTGGGGGAGGGGAAGACTGGCAGCGGGGGCCTGGGGCTGCATGCAGTCAGTGGTACCAGCCCAGGACTATAGCAAGCTGCTCTCCCTTTCTCAGTTGCCTTGTTTGTAAAATGGAAGTGATAATCCCTTCCCTGCCTGCCTTGCAGGGTTTTCATAAGGATGCAAGGGGACAACACCTAAGAAAGTGCCTTGGGCATCGAGAGTGTCTTCTACGACCCCACCTTTCCTGCTGCTGGTTCCTCGGAGCTCCAAGGGACAGTCAGACCCAGGTCTCTGCAACCGTGGCTGGTGGATCAAGGGCTCCTTTCTGGCTAAACAGCTAGGCGGAGAGGCGGGGGACAAAGCCAGCCATTCAACCAAGTGTATAACCTAAGCTGGGGTGCAATGAGAAGAGGCCTTTGTGCAGAGTTTCCCCTGCCTGGGAAGCCAGAGCCTATGCCCTGTCCAGTCAGGTCCTACAGGATCCTCCCTGGACTTCCTTCTCCAAGAGGCCCTCCACAATACCTCCATCCTACCCTCCAAGGATGCTCCCTTTCAGAGCTTCTATCTTATGTTCATTGTACTCCTTTTGGTGCCCAGCACAAGGCCTGGCCCACTGCAGAGACTTGAATGTTCGTTGAATAAATGGATGAATAACAAGGCCAAGGCAGAGCCAATTACTAGTCATCTCATGCTCACCTGCCCATCTACCCTGGCCAGGGCCATTGTCTCATTCAGCTTAAAGTCTCCATGTCCTAGGTAGAGCCAGGCGTGGGGCGGGATGCTGGGGGAACATGGCAGCCTGTCTGGCTATGTGTTATGCATGAACCCCACCTCCTTGTTCACTTCTGGCTGCCTGCAGCTGGGGTGGGAGTGAGGGGGCCTCTGATAACATCTGTCCCTGCCCACGCGGCTTAGCCTGAACCAGGATCCCCACAAAGAGGATTAAGAAAGCTGGGGAGGGAGGGAGAGGCCAATGGCTGAAGGATAAGGAGGGCTGGGCAATGCAGGTGGCCGCCTGATTTGGCGCGGTGGCCCCAGTGGGGGCCAGATGGTATCGGCTTTGGACAAATGGAGGAACCTGGGAGGGTCTTGGCTGCATCTCTGCCTGGCATCCCTAATGGGCAGGAGCATCCGCTCTAGAGGCAGATGGGTCTTGGCTTGAATCTCAGGTCCACTTCTTATGGGCTGTGTAACCTTGGGAAGTCAGTCACAAGTCTCACTTTCCTCCTCTATAAAATGGAGAAGATGGCACGACCAGCTGCATAGAGTAGGTGTAAGGATTCAGTGAGAAGGCATGTCCAGTGGGCCGAGATCAGTGTCAGGCACAGAAGAGGTGCTTGATAATGATGGTCCACGTTATTGTTGCTATTCCTTTCACTCCAGGCCAGGGCTATTCTGGGCCTTTCTCCTCCCTCCTGTCTACAGCTTTATAAGAAACACGGTGCCCTTGGATTTTACCCATTGTTCCTGCCTGGCCAGCCATCCATCTTGGCCCCTCCTATCCAAGCTTTGGGGTAGCTGGCTTCCCTAGCAATCCATTTACCCACATTCCCTTCAAAACTGACTCAGGACCCTCTGAGCAGCTGCCCTCACTGGCTGCCAAGGTGTCCTCCCACTTATGGATACAGATTATGTGGCTGGGGACATTCGCAAGCTTTGAGCTCCTTCTACATGGCTGTCAGCTGGCAAGCTCCTCAGCTTGGCAAATCATGCCACCAGCTGTGGGCCTGGCCTCTTCTGAGCTTGTATCCTAGACCCTTACCAAGCTGAGTTAATCTCAGTTCTCTGGGTTCTGGTGTACAACCGCACGTGCCATTTCATGTGCCTAGAATGCTCTCACTATCCTCAGCTACCTGTGCGGATGGATCAAACTCCTAAAGATGTATAAGTGGCTCCTATGTCAATTTTCCACAACCAGCCCCACCTCCCATGCAACTAATGCTTCCTTTCTCTGTGCAACCTCCACCTTGTACATAATTTTCTCAGTCACCTGTCTCCACATCTGTCTTCCCTACTAAAGGGGAAATTGGGTTTGGTGAAGTCTCATCTGTCGTTGGTTTTGCAGGACTTAGCAGTGGGGATTGTATGTGATAAATGAGAGATCAATCAGTATTTATTTGAATAGATGGATGGATGGATGTAACAGTAGCTCGATATATGCTTATATGAATGGATGAGTGGATGGATGAGGATAAAAAGAGCTCACTAGAATTTTACCTAAGTGAATGAATGAATGACTGCAAACGATTCAAAAGTCTCTCTGCTTTCTAAGATGGGTACGAATCCTTCAAGAGTCTCTCAGCTTTGCTTATGATGCATCAGACTTGGAACTCTCCAAAGAAGGCTTTGTCTTTCTCATCAAGTGTGGGGTACACATGTAATCCGTGGGGACTTTGTCTCCTCATCAGACCAGTTTCCTGTGGTGTCTGTATGTCAGGGGTGCACACAGAAGGGCCAATCCCTTCAGCACCAATGTCTTCCTATCTCTCATCCCCTATCATCTGTGGCCACCCCTACGCCTGGCCAGGCATGTAGCCATCCTCTCTGGGCGTGCGCAGGTGGGGAAAGGTGCGAACTCACCGTCAAACAGCCCATCAGGCTTTGCTCAAAGGGCCGCTGGAAGGCTCTCGGGTCTCCACACCAGTCCAACAGCTCTGTGGCGGCATTGTGGAAGTTGGCAGGATTCTGTAAGTGCTGTGAGAGAGGGAAAGGAGAAATCATGAGGCCCCAGAAATGAGGGCAGCACAGATAGTCATGGGGTCTGGGATGGGGAAGACTCTAGGTCTCACAAGAGACTTTGCAGAAAGGAGCAGACCTGATTGACAAGCTTTCTCCAATTCCCCCTCACGTCCCTCGCCTTTGCATCTCTGCCTCCAGCCTAACCCCTGGGAGGAGGGGATTAGCAGCCCCATTGTAAAGATAAGGAAACCAAGGTCTAGAAGAAGGCAAGATAGTAGATATTAAAGTGTTTTTTAGATGCCAGCAGTAGGGGAGGTGAACCCTGCAGAGTTCAGAGGGTGGCATCTGGCTACCATACTTGGGGTCTGGCTCTCCTTGAGCCAGGACAGGCTGGCCCTGGAGATTTCTTTTTGATGATTCTCAACACATACACACACACACACACACACACACACACACACACACACACACACACACACTCGACCACCCACTCACCCCAACTCTGGCTTCAGACAAACTCTGCCATAGCCAAATAGGGCAAGAGCAGGCGGGGTCAGAAAGAGGCCTCCAGGCCACACAGCTAGGAAGGTGGACTAAAGCACACTGTGCCCAGGTTACTGTCACACTGTAGTCTGGGGTATGTGGCTTAGCGACTTCTGATTTCCTGGGCCCAGTCTGGCTCGGCTTGGAGGCTGCTGGCATTGTTGGGAGGGGTCGCAGGGTGAGCTCAGGCCTTTCTCAGTTGGGGAGCTGAGTCAACTGAGACAGAATTCTGATGCCAAGGCCTCTAGATCCTGCTTCAGACCCAGGCCACAGGGCTGATGGGCTGGGGTGGGGATGGCTTCCATAGTCACTCCTCCATTTTTTAACACTTATCCATGTCTTTCTAGGCCACGCTGAGTTAGGCACTCAGCCCAGGGTCATGAAGCAGGTTGGGGTGAAGCTGAGATTCCAGTGCTGGGAGTTACTGCCTCGGGGTCCTCCAATGGGATATCTAGAAGGTGTACACAAGGGTCGGAGTATAAGCGGCTGCAAAGGGGAATGTGGTACCTTTTGAGGTTCCTGTGGCTTTGGTGCTGGGAGAGACAGGGAACAGTAGCTGGCCCCGGGGAATGCAGCATCCCTACCTGTAGTGTGAGTCAGCCTCAGAGCCAAGGCAGGGAGGGGTCTTAGGAGCTGTCAAGTCCCCAAATTGGGAAGAAGGCGGATGTGCTGTGATTGCCCCTGTGGGGCAGGGACCCTGGGGTCACACTCCACTTCCACCTCTTCCTAGCTGCTAACCTAGAGCAGTCCCCCACCTCTCGAAGCTTTAGTCACCCCCATCTGTAAAATGGGGATGCAGACCACAGGATGGCAGTGGGAATGTTTGTTTCCTTCGCTTGGGGTTTCATGACTGTTGTTAGACATGGTTTGTGCAAGGCAAGATTTAAAAATGGATGGAAAAAAGTAGAATGAATTAGAATATCCTCCTCCTTCCATGGGAGAATAAGGAGAGGGGGAGATGAAGGAAAGAAAGAGGGCAAGTGCGCAGCAACACAGCCCTCCATCAGGGGGCCGTGGTCAGGATTAAACAAGATGAGGCTTATACAGCCCCTGGCAAAGCGCCTGGCGTGTGGGGTGCTCCCATGTGGGGCTGCCCTTGGCCCTGATTCTGTTTCCCAGAGGCTCCCTTGGAAGCACAGCTGCACTCAGCAGCTTGCAGCCCTGGCTCCACTCAGTGCTCTTTTTGTAAAGGCAGAGCTCCTGCATTTGATTTGCAGAAGACAGGAGGAACTTCCACAGATAGAAACATGCCCTTTGAGAGGGCAGCAGTGAGTCCTCACCTCTGGCCCCAGTGCCCCCTCTCTAAATCAGGCCCCCTTTGAAGCCACACGCAGCACCTGGGCTCCACGTGGAAAGCCAAGCAAAGCAGCTAATTCCCGGCCCAGCAGCCTCCTTCTGCTAACCGAGTTATTCCGTTTATTTACATGATGTCACACCCAATTAGCAGTGTCAGCAGCCACTGCAGGCTGCTCTCAGACCTGCCTGCACACAGCACCCTCACCTGTGGCAACCCCCGCTTTGAGGCTCTGGGCTCGCAAGTGGCCTCTGAGGCCAGGCTCAGGAGCCCAGTTTTGTTCTGGCCCCCGAGTACTCAGCCTTCCATACCTGTCAGCTCACCTCTGAGCTTCTCCACTTTCACCTGGGCCAGCTCACTGGCCATCACTTGGGCTCTGGGTGGTCATCTGTGAGTGCAACTCATTGGTAGAAAGACTATCAGGCATCCCATTCAGTGGCTGTTGCTCAGAGGCTCTGTGGCCTTGGCCAAGCCCCCTCCATTCTCTGTGCTTTTGTAGTGCAGAGATGTAGTGAAATGAGCAGGAGAGACCTGGACCAAACCCCATCTCAGCCCCTGAGCCACACAGCCCTGGGTGTGTTCTCGAGCTTCAGATCCTTCATCTGTAAAATGGGATGCTGCAAGTTTTAGAAACAATACACCTGATGACATCCCTATTGAAAGAGAGGTGCCAGGTAAAAACTATTATTGCTGGGACCTCTGTACTATTTCTTATTTCTCCTACAAGCTTCTAGAGCATAGAAATAGTGCCCTGTTCCGCTCTGGAACCCTAGATGGCATAAGGCCAGGCCCAAGCAGAAATGGTCAGTGAACAGTTAACTGTCCAAAGGATGGTCCAAGCTAGCCACTTCAGAATAGGTTCCCACTGGTACATAGAGAGGCTGAGGCTGGGTGGGTGAGCTTGGCCAGCTTTTGATGGTCTACGGATGGAAGCACAAATTTAAATCATAGGCAGAGGCATCCCTGGCTGTGGCTGTTACTAGATACTAATACCCTGTCCCCCACCATAAAGGCTGCTTATCTCCGCAATTCCTCATAAGACTGGGGCTATATCCACTGGCCACTGAGTCTGGGGCAAGAGTAGGGGACACAATGCCCAAACCAGGGATTGGCTACCCAGACCAGGTGATGAATGTATCTTCCTGTCAATCCATCTGTGAATCAAATGATCCATCCACCCATCCACCCCTCAGTGAATCAGTTCATAACCCATTCATCCATTCACTACTTTATCATTCATTCATCCATTAATTTACCTATATATCTACATATTTAATCCAGAACTTATCTAACCACCCACTCATCCATTCATTCATCCATTCATTCATCCATCATCCATATCCACCTGCCTAACTGCTCATCTGTATATCTATCCAACCACCCTTTTATTCATTCCCTTAGCTATCCATCGTCAGTCCACCCTGCCCCCC